TTAGAAAGGAAACTGCGTATGTTTGTAGTTATTAATAATACTTAGATAGTTATGTAGTTCTTGGAGAGCTCTGCAAATGTGCTGAAGATGGGAACTAAATTGTTGTGTAAGCATAAAGCCAGTTTTAGTGGCTAAAGTCATACCTAAAACAACAAAATATAGGAAATATTAATAAAATATTTATCTAGTATTTAGATAAAAGTGTGCATGTAATCTCAGAAGAAAATACATTCTATTTTCGGTTTAGGAGATATTTATGCTTCCCCTAATTTCTCTATCTAGTTCTAACACATGGATACTTATTTCACATGCAGTGGAACCATGAACACATACTTGGATATGTGCAGGTTCAATATAGATCTACAAGTATATTTTCTCCGCCCAGGTAATTGTTCCTTCTGCACATAATTCAATGTGCAGACATTAAAAATAGCATTTTTCATTACTTGAAATAGCCACTTTAACTCCAAGAGAAGCTGCAAAAGTGCATCCTGAGCTGCTATTTACAAAGCAATGTATAACCCAAAACAAGTATTGAGCATCACATTTAAGATACTGTTCCATATATTAACGTGAGATGCAGACAAGAATCATGACCCTATTGAATAGCTTGTAATAAATTTTTATAAATTATTGAAAAAGTAGTTTTATAAATGGATTGTTGCCACTGTCATTAATGTCAGTTATTTTGCTTAATAATATATTGTAAAACATCTGAAAAATGAGGTATGTGTAAGAAATCTGAAAAGTATAATGGTGACTACAAATATAAAATATAAATTCATAGTTTATAAATTCTGTCTGAAAGGTAGAAACTTGTAATTTTGATGGTCAAAGAAAAACATTTCATGTATTCAAAAGGCTATCTTTTATGCTGTTTCACAAAATAATAATTAACACACTTCTTAAAATTCCAAAGCTAAAATTTCAATTTTTGAACCATCCACTTACCTTAATTAGAAAATTAAAAATTAGTTTATAAGCTGCTATGTAATGTAAGTGTAACTTTGGGAAGTCCTCATATTGACGTTGTCCTTCCATATCAACAAAGTGAGAATGTGAATTTAAGTGTTTTTCATTGTTTGTATTATAGAAAAACCTTATAAACCTGGAAAAAAATAATTTAGTACAATTACCTTTAATTATACAATGCTAAGTGTTTTATCTTCTCAAAGCGATCTTGACTTGAGTGTTTTAGCTTTGAATTCATTTTCCTAGTATTAGTATATCCTCTCCAAGTATGAGGTATACTATTTATCTAAAAATGTTATGTTTGTATATATTTTAAACGTTTGTGTATAATTTTCATTCTGATGAAATCTTATACTGCATATATAATTTTAAAAATTAATTGGAATTATTTCAACTTGATGGGAAATTTAAATTGTTTTTATATCCAAAACCAATGTTTGTTCTGCCTTTGTCTTCTTATTTTTTTCTTTCCACTTTGTATTCTCTTTGTTTCCCTGCTTTATGAGAGAGATGCCTTATTTTGTTTATCTTTTCTGGTAATCTTAAGTAAAACTTTCTCTTTTTTTTCTTCTAGTGCTTTCTTTTATGCATTCCAAGTAATATTAGGTTGGTGCAAAAGTAATTGTGGCTTTGTCATTACTTTTAATGGTAAAAACTACAATTATGTTTGCACCAATCTAATAATACTTAGATTATAATTTAATAATTCTCAAAATAAAGTGTGACAGGTGATTAATTCACTTCTTCACTTATTTGTTTATTTATTTATTTTAAAATTAACATTTTTGAATATCTAATATGAGAGATTTGATTTGCTCAGCTCTGAGGATGTTTTACCAGACACTGTGCTTACATCAGTGATTTCACTGAATTTTGGAGAATTTCTAAATATAAGTTGATTTTCATAATATCATGAGGGAAATATAATTAAAGAAAATAATTATTTGAACAAATCAATTTATTACCTGTAATCATGGCTGTTGGTAGCTACATTATCTTAAAATAATTTAAAGGATGGGTCACTATCACGTCCAAAGGACATTTGAGACCTCCTAAATGATGGTTTTGCTTGCAGAGTGTGTAGGAATTAGCTACACTTGAGAGGAGTGGGCAAAGGGAGCACCAAGGAGATAGAGGTTTGCCTATCACAAAGCTGAGAGTGTCAGTGCGATATGAGTAGGAAATAGCAAACAGCAAGAGAAGAGAATGCTGTTCCTACCACTTTGACCTGTCAGAATTCTAATCATGCTCCAGGTCTGAGAGCATCTGTCTTCTTCTCTAGGAGCATCTCCTGAGTCTCAGTTAGACACACAGGTGCTCCTATGACACCCAGTATAACTCTAACGTTCTATAATGACTCGAGGACACATCCTTGAGGAGCATGCCTATTAACAAGTTTAACCTATGTTTTTCTACTATTTTCAAAACAAGTTGCCTTTTGATAAATCTGATCTGTCCTTTTGATCATACCCAATAAGGCAGAATTTTCAAGTGACTGTACTTCCTATCAGACAATAATCTTAAAATAGTTTAGTTTATTAATGGAGGGCAGGATGAATACCTCCTCTAATGGGGCACAAAAGAGAATTCATTTGATGGCACTCGTGATTCCTACGGTGTTAATTTTTGTAAGTATTGCCAAAATGGCTGGCAGCCTCAGAAGAAAATACAAATTATGGGTATTGAGCACTTAAAATGTGGTAGCATGTTTTAACATACTAAGTCCTTTAATCCTCTTGGCAGTTAAATATTTGTTATTATAAATTCTGACATACATATGCAATTTTACAATTAATACAATTACATGTTGATTGATTTTTACAACCTGAATCTTGTATATCTCACAACCAAATCAAGTAAGAGAACATGACCAGCAACTCACAAGACCCTTCTACCACACACTGCCTTTCAGTTATCACTCTCTCTCACTTTATAAAAAGAATAATTTGATCCATTTTTGTATTTCATTTAAAGAACACAAGGTGTTACATATGATTTTAAGTATTTCTTAAAAAATTAACACATATTGTGAGATTCGTCTGTATTATGCATATAGTCATAGATTGTTTATTCTTATTGTTACGTGGTATTTCATTGTGGGAATGTACCAAAATTTATTTACCCATTTGATGTTGGTGAACATTTAGTTTTTTTCCGGGTTTAGGCTATGCTACAAATCATGTTTCAATAAGCATTCTAATTGATGTATTCTAGTAAACATATATATATATATAGTTTTATTGGAAATGGCAATGAGGGTTGTGTGTATGTTTATCATTATGAGATATCCAATAAACAGCTGTTCTAATTTACATATCTACCAGCAGTAAACGAGAGTTCCAGTTGTTCTGCATCTTTGCCAATGCTTGGTATTTTTAGTTCTTTTCATTTTAGCTGTCCAGTTTGGTATGTCACTAGATACCAAAAAAAGGTGCTTTGTCATGAGAGATACAATTTTTACTTTTTTTTTCTGATTAATATAAAAGTTTCTACTTATTTACATGTTCATTGGCACTTTTATTTCTCTTTTGAAGTGTATGTTTCTTCCTGCAACTTTTTCTTACTGATATTGTTGAAGTACTTTCTATATTTTGTGTATGTATGCATTTGGATATCTTCTAGTTTGTGTTGACTAGATACATAAAGAACAAAAAAGATATCTTGAAAACTGAAAATACTGAATCAAAACTTCATTGACTTTTTTAATTTTAAATTTTTGTGGGCACATAGTAGGTGTATATATTCATGAGTGTATGAGGTATTTTGATAGAAGCATACAATGTGTAATAATCCCATTAAAGGCCCGGGCACAGTGGCTCACGCCTGTAATCCCAGCACCTTGGGAGGTTGATGCGGTTGGATTACCTGAGGTCAGGAGTTCGAGACCAACCTGACCAATGTGATGAAACCCCGTCTATGATAAAATACAAAAATTAGCCAGGCATGGTGGTGTGTGCCTGTAGTCCCAGCTACTCGGGAGGATGAGACAGGAGAATTGCTTGAACCTGGGAGGTGGAGGTTGCAACCGAGATCGTGCCACTGCACTCCAGCCTGGGT